TAGCAAAGACCTTCCTTGCAAAGGGCAAGGCTACCAAAGTCACCTTACCAAGTCTCTAAACCAGTTTCTTATCCATTATTTAAAACAGACCTTTCCCTAACCCTGGGGGAGCTTGAAATTTTTTTCATACCTATTCTTACCCACGGGCTTTCAAAAGGTGTGGCTTTCCCCTTGCAGTCTAATCACTCTCAGCAGCTCATGAATTCCTTATTCCTGGGATCAGATTAGGTCTGTTTGGCCAGAATCCCCTACTCCCTGTTTTCTCTTAGTAACTTTTCTTCCGCAGACCCCACCCCTGCTCTCCAATTCCCCACTGCTCCAGGGTGCCCACAGTGCAGCCAGCTCTACATTGAGGTCTCTGTTCCTGCACAGCAAAAGTTCCTGAATAAAACCTGTTTTTACCACTTTTAAAAAGAAAAGGTTTTTGTCATTAAGAAACAAATACACATTTATATTTTTTCCAAAGAATACAAAAAATGCACAAAATAAGGCAAAAATCTTTGCAGAGATGAGTTGGTATATATCTTTGCAGGACAACTTCTTCTATGCATGTACTAGACCATAAATGTGAATATTTGCATATATTTTAAAGGAATTTTTCAAAATGAGATTACACTGTGTATGCTGCTTTTTTGGGTAACCCAACACCAACTCAAGGATATCTAAGAATACATACCCTTACTATCTCACTTTAAAGGCTTATGGAGACTCTACTTATATTCCACTTTACCCACAATATATTTATCATTTCAGAATTATTTATCATTTCAGAATTTATAAAATTAGTCATACAGGACCCTTCCTCCAGAAAGCCTCCTCTGGAAGGTTCTGATAGCTGGGTGTTCGAGTGTCTCCTCAGCCTGCCATGGGTGCATCAGGCATCTTTGCCTTCACTGCAAGGGTCCTCTGGGCAATCATGGGAGCTCCTTCCCAGGCCACTGCCACTCAAGGTCATACAGCCCACATCCAACCAAGAGCTCCGTAACCACCAATCCAACCCCTCGATTCCATCATCTCGGCTCTAAGTATCATTTAACACTTTAAAGGATCACTGGAGCCCTGTGATCTAGTTGATCTATCAGGCCTGGAATCCATCCACAGCAAGAAGGGCACCAGACTAAGAGTTCGGAGATTCAAGTCCCAGCTCCCAGGTCAGTGGTTATAAACAGGGGTCTCTGTTGACCCCTGCCAGACGGGAAGCTAACGACTGACTCAGAATTAAAAATGACCTTGACATTTGAAACAGAAACGGGCAGGATCAATAAGGATGACCGCAGGAAGAGAAATTAGGAATCTAGTCACATAACAAAATAAGCCTGGAAGCCTTAGGGGTCAGGAAAGACCACAGTAGGACAAGAGTGGGCACTGCAGAGCCAGTGCTGCTGCTGACAAACAATCCACTCCCCACCAGCTTCTGGTAGGAAAGCCCCAGGCGTCCCCACCTCCTCCCCCGCCTCTGTCCTCTAGACAGGCTGGTGGCCGGCACTGTGATCAGCAACAGAGTCGTGGCCTGGCATGCCCTGTCCACCAGTCATCCTCCATGAGGGCCGCCAGGCACCTGTACCCACACCTCCTCTCTGAGCAGTGGCTCAGGACCTCCCGCGTCGGGGAGGGAGGAGAGGTAGGGTGGAGCTGAGCTGCAGAGGCGGGAACCTGATGTTCCACCCCCATTTCCCTCCTTATTCCTAGCGGGAATGTTCTAGATGCTAGTGTGTCAGCGGGGAGGGTGGGCGACAGCAGACAGAAACCTCTTTGAGACCATGAAAAGACCCCCGCCCTCATCCACACGGCAACTGCCAACAGTGGCACCGGTGGCAGACCTTACCACAGACCCCTGGGGCTGTGCACTTCAAACCCTGCTCAGTCCCTTCCAGGCTCTAGTCAATGGTCTACAAAAAGCAAAATCCTCCACTAAGGGCCTGGCTGGCCATCCTGGCTCTTCCCTCTGGCTCTCTGCACACCCCCACTGGACCCCCCCCACTCCCACAGGCAGGCCCAGGGTTGGGGGCAGGACCCTCCTCAAACCCAGCTGGAGCCACACCTGGCTCCAGGGCCGGGACCCAGCCCCTCCCTTGTCCCCATCCTGCAGCCGCCCCACCCGATGCGATGCGCTTCCTAAGGTGTCCCCTCCTCCAAGAAGCCTCCCAAATCCCCTCAGTTGGTTGTGACCCCACTCTTCTTGAGAACTTCATGTTCTCCCTCTCCCAGGGCCCTCACTTTGCTGCAGTGTCCCCTCAAGACCAGCCCAGGACTCTGTTCACAGGAAGCGCTCGGCAATCTCAGGAGAATGGAAGCTGACGTGGTAGGGAAATGGTCCTACACCAGGGACAGTGAGGACAGACGTGCTGGCACTAGTGCGTGGGAGTGAAGGTGGTCGCACAACCACCTGTTGCCAACACCATTTGTTAAGACTCAAGAGCAGATGGCTGAGTGGCTGTAAGGAGCCTCCCCAGGTTGAAGATTTTCAATCACAGTCAACATTTTCCTCATCTGACCAAGATTTTGCAAAAGAGGCAGGAAAGTTGCAGAACTTCCCAGAGCCCTTCCTGCAGGGTCAGGCCCCACAGCGCCTCACCGCACCCTCACAGCCAGGGCCCACTCCCACGTCACAAGTGAGGCTTGGAGAAATTGCGAAGTTCCCCAGGATCCTGAGCCCAGGCAGCAGCAAGATGCAGTTCCCGTGGACTCCAGGCTCCTTGTTTACTTATGCTGCCTTCAGCTGGTTCACGGTGCAGCAAGTCCTAACTGTGCACACACAAGTGCACACACAAATACACACAGACACTGCACCCAGTCCTGGTCCCACACTTAGCCAAGCGGGAGCAATGTGGACACAAATGTGAACTGCAGGCCGACACTTTGTGGGTTTCTGATTTGGTTGTGATTTTAAGGGAAAAGACGACAGTCAAACAGACAAGGGACTGCCCTCCAAATGGAAAGGAAGCTGCCACTCTCAGTTTACTCTCAGAGCCCACTCAGGAGCAGCAAAGTCCCTGCAGAAACCCAGTCTCACAGCCGGGGCGATGCCCTCCCATATCCACCAAATAGCAAAATACAAGTGGAAGCAATTCCTAAGGCCTGCACGCCGCTCCAAAACTGCCAGAGGCCAGAGACACACTCAACTCTCGGGGGGCACTGGGCAGGGGGCTTGAGGCCAGCAAGCTGGGGGCAGCAGAAGCATGTGACGGCACACAAGTGGCCCTTCTGCCTCAGGCTCCAGGTAGCATCAGCCACCCCCAAACCCCTAACCCAGCTCCAAGTTCTCTCAGGGTTTGACGGTTCTCTCACCGGAACCCTTAAGGCATGGAGTCCATGGAAAGAGAGCCTGCCAAACACCTGCCTGTCAGTCTGCAGACATCCACTAAAAGGTGAAAGAGGACACAGAGGTCACCAAGGCCAGATGCCTTTCCAGAGATAGGGGAGCTGAACCCACAGGAGCACCCAGGACAGAGCCAGGGTGTGGGGCTGCCCTGCTCCCCCCGAGCCCAGGCCTGGCTCCCTTTCCACCTGCCCAAGGTCTCTGGACAAAGAGCAGTATCCTGGCTTGTCCCATCTTCCTGGCTTGCTTTTTGAGAGGACCAGCGGCAGAGAGCAGAGTGAAGGTGACAGTGAAGCATTTGAGGGGCTCACAGTGATCTGAACTTGGGAAAGAACCTCAGAAATTATCTACACAAGTGGATTTCCACATAAACACTCAGGACACACAGGAGAAGAAGGCTTAATGGAACTGGCACTCGGCGCTCTCTGCAGTCAGAGGCTGCGGGTCTGTCTCCTGCAGGGACCCCAGCCCCACACCACCCTCCTCCCAGAGCTGCCCTGTGAGCCCCTGCTCTCTCCCCTAAAGCGTCTCCAGGAAGCCTTCCCTGATTGATTGCTGTGGTGACAAGCAGACCACTCTTCCATCTTCTGGGTCTGAAATTCTACCACCTACCACAGAGCAGAGCCACTTTTCAGAGCTGAAATGAGCCTCCAAGCTCCAGGCCAACCCCCACCCCACAAAGGAATCCTGTGGCAGACACCCTGACAGATGGTCCTTGGCCGCCTCTGCTAGGCTCTTCCAGCACTGGGAGGGCAGCCCTCGCACTGGGGACAGGTCATTCCTTGAGTCTAGAAGGCATTCACCTTGCCTAGGGTCAAGCTCCTACTCAAGGCACTCCAGCCTGGGCGTGGTACCAAGGGAAGCCTTGGGTGGTCTGGATAGGAAGCTGCAGACAAGCATCAAGTGGCCGGAGCGGAGGCCAGAGGGGACGCCATGGTCCGGAGGAAAATGGTCCCTGCAGGGCAGGCAGGCAGGTGCCAGACCTGATGCACAACTTGGCTGGGAGCCCCCTGACTGGCCACAGCACAAGCAGACACATGCACACACTTTCGGAGTTGCCAGCGGACTGCCCCACCAGCGCCTCCGTGGAACCTAGCGGCAGGAGCCATCTTGGCCCAGAAAGCCCTCTGGAACTCCGACAGCCCAGCTCTCCAAGGCAAGGGTCTCCGCAACTAGGAGACACAGCCACGCCAGCAGAGCAGGCAGCCGAAAGACGCTCTGCCTGACAGCGGGCTCCCCAAATCCCACGGGCCAGTTCTAGCACCTCGCAACTGCTAGGAGACCGCCTCCCCAGTGCTGCAGCTGTCACATCTGCCCGGGCGGGAGGAGGCACACAGGAGCAGCACCTGATCCCTGGATCCCTCCGCAGGGCCTGCCTGCCCAGGAGGCAGCTCAGCTGTTGGCAGCCCAGGGTGAAACATGAAGACTGAACTGTCCCCAGGGATGCTGATGGCAGCCACTGGGCACGGCAGTGAGGGGCACGCGGGGTCACAGGGCAGAGGGTGCATCGCTCAAGGATCCTGTGGCTGCCGGCCTGAGAGGGGGCCCTTGTGTGGCTCCAGGCTCCAGCCCTTCCTCCCCAGCCTGACGCAGGCCCGAGCGGCTCAGCTGGGTGCAGAACGCCATCTTGGGTCAAGGTGCAGCCACAGGGGGCTCCCCTTGGGAGCCCGGGGAAGGAGCCCCTGAGAACCAGCACCTCCCCCCATTCCCACCTAGGGTTCGAACACCTACTCAACTGGCCCTGCAGCCCAGAGAGGGGGAGAAGGACGGAGGGAATGCAGAAAAGGGGAAACAGCAGAGGCGGAGAAAAGGGAGAGGGTTCCCCCAAGAAGGCAGGCTCCAGGAAAGCGAAACGCAGTTTGGCAGCTCGAGGCCCGCGGGCCCCAGCGAAGAGGGGCTGGGGGCGGGCCCTGGACGCTCGCCAGCTCAGTCCGCGGCGAAGGGGAGGGAGGCCAGGTCGGCCAGGGGTGGGGAACCGGGGTGAGGGCGGGACACGGACCGCGGCCGCCTGCGGCTCCGAAGCTGTGGTCTCCTGGGGAGCGGGGACTTGGGGCCGAAGACCCCGATCCGCAGCCTCCCAGCGGCCTCGTCCTTCACCGTGCAGATGCGAAGCTTTCAAGGACACGTCTGCACCGGCCCGGCGGGGTGCGTGTGCGTGTGTCCGCGTGCTTGAGTGTGCGCGGGGGGAGGCGGCTGCAGGGACGACCCCGGCGTCCCCACCCGCACGGTTCCCAGCCCGCTGCTCCCACCCCCGCGTTTTCCGGCCCCCGCGGCCCGGGATCTTCGCCCGCCCCCGCCCCACCCCGCCCCCACACTGCGGCGCAGCCACCACCACTACCACCGCCGCCACCGCCGCCCCGGCTCCCACGGCCCGCAGCGGGGGCAGGGAGGAGCCAGCCACGACGCCCCCCTCCCGACGCACTGCCCGGCCCTCCGCGAGAAGGTGTGCCCCCCAAGTGGGCACCCTCCCCATCCATCGCCCCTCCCAGATCCGCCGGCGCCCCGCACCCCCAGCCACAGGTGGCCGGAGGAGGATCGCGGCGCAGCGTTCCCAGGCCCGGCCCCCAGATCACCCCTCGGCCCGCCTCCGGGGGCCTCTCGGGTACCCCGCCCCGCCGGGCCGAGGAGGGCCGGGAGCCGGGGGGAGGGGCGGGGGGCCGGGTCGTGCCAGGCTGCCATTTTCTGCCGCCGCCGCGGAGCCTGCGCGGGGCCCGGCCCCCGCCCCCTCCCCGCTCCCCGGGCCCGCGGCGGGGGCCGAGGGTTCCGGGTCGGGGTCCGCGCCCTCCCGCGCCCTGGCCGCGGGCCCCATGCAGGGCCCCGAGGCGGGAGCAGAGCCCGGAAGGCGCGGGCGGCCGGGCCGGGCCCCTGCGGCAGCGCTGAGCCGGGCACGGCGGCCGCGGCAGGCGGCGGAGGGGCCCCCGCAGCATTGTATAGACTTGAACTTGAGCCCGGAGCCCGCGCGGGCGGGGAGAGGGGTCCGCGCCCGGAGTTGGCAGGACGGGAGGGGGCGCCTGCCGAGCCCTGGGGACATAAACAAACCCTCGGCTCCCTCGCGCCGCCCGGCCAGCGCGGCCCGCCGTCTCCGCCCGCAGCCCCGGCCCCGCGGGCGCCGGGCGCCGAGTTGCAGGGGTCCGGGAGCGCGCCCCGAGCCGGGCACTGCCCGCCGCGGCGCCCCGAGCCGCCTCCCTGCTCCCCGCCCGCCCGGGCCGGCCTGCGGGCCGCCGGCAGCGGCGCTCATTACCGTGTGGCGGGTCGGGTCGCGCCGGCCCGGCTGCGCGCCCTGGTGCCGCGGCGCCGCGTCCCGGCTCGTCCTCTGCTCTCGCCGCCGCCGCCGCCCGCGCGCCTCCTCCCTCCCGGCCCGCCCGCCTGCCCGCCTCGCTCGCTCCCTCCCTCCGCTCGCTGTCGCGCTCCCTCTCTCCGCCTCCTCCGCCGGCTTCCCCTCCCACCCCTTCTCTCCGCCTTCCTCCTTCCCTCCCTCCGGCCGCCCGCCGGCCCAGGCCTCCGCCCGCCGCTCGCCCCCCGCGGCCGCGCTGGCCCCGGCCCCGGCGATGCGGAGCCGGCCCGGAGGCAGCGCGGGCTGGGGGCCCCGGGGCGCCGCGGCGGGAGCGGCCTGGCGCGCGGCCGGTCCTAGCGCCCTCGGCCGCCTGCGCGGCCTCTGCGGGCCGCCGGGGGTCCCCGCGCGCCGGCAGCCGGAGGGCCGGACCCCGCGGAGCCCCGCCGTGCCCCGGACCTGGACACCCCTCCCAGCCGCGCTCCCGGCCGCTCCGGGACCCTCGGGTGGGAGACAGCCCGGGCCTTGCCGCAGCCTCCCCACCCCCCGAGGGACGCCCCGCTACCTGGCGCTGCTTCTGCGCTGGGTCCCCGCATCCAGCACTGGTCGCAGGGACAGCGGCCCCTCCTCTCCCCGGCCGGTGTCAAGTGCCTCCCCCCGCAGCCCGCGGAGCCCCCGGCGGCCTTCGCCCTGCAGTTCTCCCGACCTCCGCCAGAGCCCACTGCACTCTGCCCGCCTCAGCACTGGAGCTGGGGACAGCAGCGCCGGCCGGTCCGCGCCGCACCCCCCAGCCAGGTACCGCCCGAACGTGGCCGGCCCGCGCCTCGGGGCCAAGGTCGGAGCGCCAGGCGGCCTGGAGGCCCGGAGCACCTCTGTGGTGAGCTGTGTAGGAAGGAGTGAGCTCCCCGTACCTTGAGGTGTTCAAGTAGAGTTGGTGTCCTCAGGTGGGCCCTGGTTAAACTAAATGACACTTAAAGTGATTCCCGCCAGTGACACAGTTCATACCTGTGAGCTGCGCTCACCTTCCTTGTGGGCCCCGGGGCCCCAGGGTTCTGACTTGCGCTTCTCTGTCCAGGTGTACAAGGGCAGCCACTCTGCTCATCCCTCTCCAACAGCCTCGTCTAGGAAGGTCGTGATCATGGGCACCCTGTTCCCCAGCCACCTTGCCTGGCTCCTCCCATTCCCCAACCTGCCCACTTGCACCCCTGCCAACCAGCTCCTCAGCTGGGGCCTAAGCCCTGGGCTCCATCGCAGCACTATGGGCAGTTGCTGCGGGATGGGCCATGTCCCCACGTATGGACCCCACACCCACCAAGCTCACTCCTTAGGGCTGTGGGGACGTAGGGCAAAAGCTGCCCCTTTGCCCTCCCGTGCTTCCCGGTTTGTCAGGCTTGCCTACTCCCAAGCCTGGATCTCTGAGAGCACCTCACAGTCCCCAGGCAAGTGTGCAGGGCTTTTCCTATATCGACCTTATTAAAGCAACCACACCAGGCCGTGCTACCCATGATCACCGCCTGGCCAGTTTCAGAGTGTTTGTTTATGCCCCATGAGGATGAGGACTGTCATCTGTGGCTCAGCCCTCAGCACATAGTAGGTCGTCAGGTTACCTTAGCTGTGTGGGTTTGTGACCTATTGCCTTCCTTTATTTTTTACTGTTCACATCGAGAAGAGCATCCACAAACACTAAATTAGGCTCCTAGCTTGACAAAGGGGAAGAGTGCCTCCCTCTGCAAAGCCAGGGCTTCGGTAAAACTGCCCTCAGAGAGCCGCTGACATTTCCTAAGGGTCTGCAGTGTGCAGCCACAGGTGTGGGCCTGTCCCCTGGAACACCACCCCTTCAGGCACTGTGCATACTCAAGCTCTAGGGAAGAAAATGACCTGGGGCTGGGAGCCTAGCTCAATAGTAGATGGGGGGGGGGGGAGTAGATTACGGGTGCACGACCTGGGTTCTATCCCAATGCCATAGGGGAAAAAAAAGAAAAAACCCTAAGGCTTAAGGTTCATCTGAATCTCAAATCACCACACCACACCTTTAAAAAAAACAGTATAATTGTTTTTTTTTTTTATGTTTTCCAGCACTGGAGATTGAACCCAGGCCTTTGCAATGAGCTACATTCCTACCCCGTTGTTTGTTGTTTGTTTTTAGACAGGATCTCATTAAGTTGCTAACTTGCCCAGGCTGGACTAGAATTTGTGCTCCTTTTGCCTAGGCCTCCTAGAGTGCTGAGATTACAGATGTTCCCTACCATGTCCCTTACACAGCCACTACCACGGTCGCTTCTACTAAGATGAAATTCTCAAGAGCCAAGATGGGCAAACATAAGTTTCTATTCTGGAGGGCTGAGGCAGGAGCATCTATGTTGGAGCCCAGCTTGGACAACTTAATGATTTAGTGAGAATGTAATTAAAAACTAAAAAAGGGCTTGTCTTAGTTACTTTTCCTATTGCTGAGACAAAAGAAAATAACCATGCCCAAAGTTAGTTGGAGGAGAGGTTTATCTGGCTCGCATTTTGTAGATCCATAGTCAGCTGGCTACGAGGCAGGGTAGCGTGGCAGAGGGGCATCACGGGGAAAACAATTCATGGCAGGCAGAGGGCAGCAAGGCAGTGAAGCAGCAGCAGCCTGCCTGTCGCTTTCGTCCCTTTGGGGCTACCTACCCTTTGATGGTGCCATTCACACTTCACACTGTGCCAGACCAGTCAGTGGAGTAATGTACTAATCACACACCCTTGATCCCAGCATCACCCACCCTATAGATCCAGTCACCTCTGAAAAGCTCCAATTAGGACTACTTGAGGCTTTGGGGGGACGTCTAGACACAAACCGTAACAGGGCTAGAGTTAGGTGCAGAGGCTCTGGGTTCAGTTTGCAGTTTTAAAAAAGTTAAATGTAAAATTACCTTGTGACCCAACTATTCCATGTCTAAAAGTATATCCTATGAAAGCAGAGACTTGAATAGCTACCAGTGTTTGTAATAAAACTAGTCACAGTAGCTAAAAAGGTAAAAAAAAAAAAAAGAAAATCTGAATGTCCATCAACAGTGAATTGATTAATATATAATACAAAGGCTGAGTAATATTCCATATGGAATATATATATATGGAATATTACTCAGCCTTTAAAAGGACGGAAATTCTGACACAGGCTACAAAGTGGGTAACATTAAGTGGACTGTGTCACAGAAGACAGAAGGACAAATGTATGGTTTCATGTACATGAGGAACCTAGAAGAGGTAAATGCCCAGAGACTCTGCTCCCTATGGCAGCACATATGCTAAAATTCCCAGTGACAAAGTAGAAATTGGTTATCAGGGAGTGGTGGGAGAGGGGGCGGGAGTTTGTGTTTAACAGTAGAGCCCTGTTTGGGCGATGGTGCAGTCGTGGAGAGAGCCAGGTCCCAGCCGTACAATGCAGATGTACTTAAAGCTATTGAATTGTAGCCTTCCTTCAAAATTGTTAAATTGATAAGCTTTTGTGTGGTGTGTATTTTACCACCATAAAACAAACAGTGTAGAGCAACTGTAACGGAAATGTACTGAGTAGGTGACAGCTCCCTGCAGAGCCTTTCTCCCTCCTGTTACAGTCTCAAAGGTCTGCAGTGGGGTAGAGACGGGACAGTGCTGTCACACGGTCAGCGTCCTGACTTACGCAGGAACCGGCAGGCAGAGGAGAGAGCCGGCTGGGGCGGGCGGGTACAGGTCACTGGTCCTCCAGGAGCAGGCCCTCCGCTGTGATGCCCCCGGAGTAGATGCAGCGGGGGGGCCCCATAGGACAGGGGTACTTTGCTCAGTGCAGCCCCCAGGACCCTTCCACCCTCAACCCTGAGCCTCAAGGCCTGAGACACACCCTGGTCCTGACTGGAGGTTCTGTTTCTGTTTTAATGTCCCCTCACAGCCCACCCCTAGCAAAAACAACAAAAGCCCCACGGTTTACTTCAGTCGCTCTGGCTTTGGTCTTTGCTGAGCCAGGTTCTGTGGCAGTGGAGCACAGGGTCACCTGCCCGTCCCCGTAAACAGAAGACAGACGTCGCTGGACCAATGCAGCTGCATCCCAAAAGAAGCACCGGTTGCTCCCCCAAACCAGGCACACTCTGCGCTGGGCCTGCTCTCCAGGCTGGCAGAGCTGTTCTGCTCCCTCACAGTGAGTGTCAGCGACTGCAGAACCTCTCAAGTCACCAAGGGCCACGACCTGGACACTTTACAGCAGTTCATTTAATGTATGTGAACTTGGTGTCCATAGGCAAGATACTGGGGCTTTTACGGAAAGATATTGTTTAATGTGTTCCTGCTGGAGCAACCCATTTGGGACCCCTCCTGTGTCTCAGGAGCTGCTCCTGTTTCCTGCTCCCCCATCCCTAATCCCCTTTCCTATTCCCCAATAAACTTTCCCAGTCTTAAAAGAAAAATCCAGTGATATGAAGGACCCACCCCACTGACCACTAAAACTCCTCTCACTGCTTCCCCAAACAGGAAAATGCAAGCCCTGGCCAGCCCAAAGGTGGGACCTGCGAGGATGCTGTGTGTGCCTGTCCGCGCGATCTCCGTGTGGCTCTTTTTTTTTTTTTTCCCAGGACTGAGGATTTAGCTCAGGACCCTCCGACTGAGCTACGTCATCAGCCCTTTTTGTCCTGAAACAGGGTCTCAAGGAGCCATTAAGTTTCCCAGGGTGGGCTCAAATCAGTGATTTTGCTGCACTGGCTCCCAGAATGTTGGAATTCCAGACATGTGCCACCACACCTGGCTCTGTGTGACTTCTTCTCACACTGTGTTTAAATTATAAACTGAGCCAAACCACTCAAAACACCAAATTTACAATGGTGGGGAGCAAATGGGTTACTCAGATGAAGGCCGGCTCTGGGAGATGTTGGACAGGAAGGGTTGCTGGTCCCTGGCGTGCACCACTCAGCCTGGGAGGGCGACCGGAGCTCTCTTCTTGGCAGGGAGGGGAGCCATATCCTGCTCTGACTTCCCGGGAGAATCTCCCTGGCTTGTCCTGCCCACCGCCCCTGAAGGACTGAAGAAAAGGAGCCCCCTTCAGGAGGACCAGCTTCCTGTGGGACTGGCTCAGGTCTTCTCGGGGATCCTTCCGAGGCCCCACCATAGGGGGGCTAGGGAGTGCGTATGTTTCTCTTACTGGCCCAGCCAGCCCACAACTGCCAAGCTTCCTGGAAAGTCACGATAGCTTTCTTTCCAGCACTGTGACAAAATACTTGAGATAAGCAACTTCAAAGGAGGAAACGTTCATTTCCGCCCACAGTTCCAGAGGTGGCAGTTCATGGTTGCTGTATCCTGTCATTTGGGCCTGTAGCAACACAGAACATCATGGCAGGAAGCCCTGGGTGAGCTGCTTACTTCATGCCATCTGGGAAGCAAAGAGAGGAAGTGGCAGAGACCCCAGTCTCCCTTTCAGGGTACACATGTCCCCATGACCCACTTCTGCCCGCTGACCCGCCTCTTAAAGCACCTCCCAGGAGCACCATCCGCCAGATCCAAGCCGGGAATGCGAGGTTGGGAATATATTCCAGGCCCAAACCATAGCAGGAAGTCATGGATCAGTAGCCAGCCTCCCCCAAACCCACAGCCACTGAACTGATTACTGCACACACCCACCACAGATGTCAGGTGCATTAAAGCCAAGAACATGTATGAAGGTCCTGTCACCTACAGAACTCGATATCGTTCACAGAGAAAATTTAAAGACACAGATTCATTCATTTTTATTTTGGTTTGGTTGGGTAATTTAATTTTAACCAAACCAAACCAAACCAAACAGAATATAGCTAATCAAACAGAACAATGAAAGCATTATAGGACTTCAAAACAAGATACTAGGAAATCCGCAATGGCTACCATAATGTCTCTTGTGTTCTTCAAAATAGCTGCCCATACCATCAGACATGATAAAACAAAATAGAATAAAACCGATCAAAACAGAACATTGACTAAAACAAAACAATAAAATGGAACCAAAAAAAAAAAAAAAAAAAAACCCAGTGAGAATAATACTGGAATTCAAAGTCAAGACAGACGGAAATCCCCCATACTTACCGTATGGTATATTGTTTTCCTCTTAATAGATGCGCAGACTACCCACCTGCCTTAGGCCTGCAAAGGCAATCAGGCAACACAAGCATTGAGTTGTTTTGGTGCCTTAGTTACTATCAGCTCAGCCTGGTTGGTTCAGCTGGTTGCTTACTGGGGCAGGCGGTGTCCTTGTCTCCCAGTCTGAGGGCCGGGTGGCTCATGGGAAGGATGAACTGGCTTCCTGTTTCTCCTCTCAGGCCCAGCATGGCTCCCACCAACTCATGGAAAGGGCAAATCAGCTTAATATGGCCTGTGCCAGCTCACGGGAAGGGCGAATTCTGGTTGTTTTTGTTTGTTTGCTTGTTTTGGGTTTTTGAGACAGGGTCTCACTATGTAGCCCAGGTTGGCCTCAGATTTGCAGTGGTCCTCCTGCCTCAGCCTCTTGAATACTGGGATTGCAGGTGTGGGCCACCATGCCTGGCACATTCATATAGTTTTGTTTGTTTTATTTTTTGAAACAAGGTCTCAGGGCTGGGGATTTAGCTCAGCGGCATAAGCACCTGCCTTGCAAGCAGGCAACCATGAGTTCGATCCCTGGTACCAATAAAAACAAAAAACAAGGTCTCAATATTTAGTTCACTCTGACGATGGAGCCCAGGTTGGCCTGCTCTCGCCTCAGCCTGCTAAGGGCTGGGATTGTAAGCATGCACGCACACACGAGCTTCATTTTGTATGATTTTATATGTGCGTGTGTGTAGTCTTTTTATTCAGTTTCATGTTTATCCCCTTAGTGGATTTCCCACCACAGCTTCCATAAATGTCCTGTCCCTTCTAGATGCTGGTTCAGCCCCTGCCTCTCAGTCCAGCAGGGGTCTCTGTCCTATGCACAGGTATAAAAATAGTGCTTGACCAGCATGCCTGAGGCCCAGGTTTCATCCAGCACACAGTCCATCAGTCAGTCAAATATGTATCTGCACCTTTCTCCTCCTCCCCACCTCCTCTTCCTCCTGCTCTTCTCTCTTCCTCCCCCTCTCTCCGTCTCTCCATTTCCCTCTCCCTTTGTTCAGTCCCCTGGAAATACCTAGAAACAATGAAGCCCCAGTAGCAGTGAGCACACCCACACCCAGATGGGACACCAAGGGGCTTCTCTGGCAGGGTAAGGGACGATTTGGACTCTAAAACAAGGAGGAAAACAGATTCTTACTCAGGGAGACAGAAGTAAAACCAGAACGCATTGCCGGCAGCAGAGGTGCACACTAAGGCAGGTGTCACAGGTACATTCATCCAGGCTGAGAGAAGCCCCTCCCTCCCTCCCTGCGAGGGGACATCACTGTATGGGCCCAGCACCCTCCATGACTGCTGCCTCTGAATGAAACTTTTTTATGTAGTCCACAACTGTAATGAGTAAGTCGGAAATTCTTTTGGTTACTTTTCTTATTACTGAGACAAAATATGAGACACCCAAAGCGAAAGGAGGAAAGGTTTCCCTAGTTCACAGTGGAGATTTCGGTCCATCATCAGCTGGCTCCAAGCATCACAGAGGAGAAACAGCCGCGGTGGCCAGAAGGTACAAAGCAAGCCAGGGACCTCACCAGCTCCTTCCTGCCCCTTATTCTCTACCTCGGCTACTGGGATTGGGGCGGTGCCAGACCAATCAGTGGACTGATTTAGTATTCACACAGCATGAATCCCAGCACTGATTCATGCCAGCATCGAATCATGAATCAGTCACATAGCCTAGATCCAGCCACCTCTGAAAAAGCTCCACCTAGGACTGCATGAGGCTTTGGGGGACATCTAGACACAGCCATGGCAGAAGCTTAACAAGGAATACAGTATTTATATGTAGTCTCAAAGCACTGCCCCACAAAGTGCATATTAATTACAAAAAGAAAAAGAGTAATTTCCCAGTACAGAAGCTTGGGATGCCTCCCTTTAATCAGCTGATCAAAGTCAAAGCTAAGGTCATCAATACTGGGCCAAGCACACAGGCGTGCCACCTGACAGCCTGCATCATTGCTGCCTCTGCCTGGAAAGGTGCACCCTGGCTGAACTTGCCTCAAAGTGAGGGATATTCTATGCGTGGGCTGCCAATTTATGACACCATTTTTCAAAGTTAGGGTTACAGCAATCACAGGAAGGTTGAGAAACTTTTCTATATTAAAATAACTGAAGATTCATGGAAACAAGGAAATAAAAATATGATTCTGCAGGTTGCGGTAGCAAACACCTGTAAACCTAGAACTTGGATGGCTGAGGCAGGAGGCTCGCTATGAATTCTCAGCCATCCCGGGCCACAAAGTGAGTTCAAACTAGCCTGAACTTCATGGCAAAACCCTGTCCTCCCCTCAAAAAAAAAAAAAATGTGATTCTAAGCCAGGCATGGGGCCACATGCCTACAATCAGAGCTCCGTGGGAGGCCAGGGCAAAAGAACCCCAAGTTTGAACACTGCCTGGTAATTAATCAAGACTCTATCTCATAAAAAATATAAAGGGCTGAGGTCAGGGCTCCCATCCAGATTTTGATGCTTGCACCGCAGCTATGGACAGTAAAGTCCCGTGGTGAAAGATATAAACCAGAGGGCCGGGCACACCTGGAGTCCCAGCACTTAGGGAGTGTGGGGCAGGGCATCACAAGTTAGAGTCCCACCTGGGCAACAGGGAGGCCTGTCTCACACTGAAAACCTGAAAGAGCCACGGGGAGCTATGGACTAGCTCAGTGGGAGGGCGCCCTGGGTCTCCCTGCAGACACAGTAAAACCTAGGGGTCCAGTAAAATAGTTCTAATATATTTTAACTTGATAAACAAACAGGGTCTTGCAATAGGAGCCGCACAGCACCGAGTCACATGATCACAACGGACCAATGGCAGCTCGCTCTCTCCCTGACTCTGCCCCTCCCCCTCCTCTCCCTCCCCCTCCCTTCCCCTCCCCCCTCTTTCTCCTTCTCCCTCTCCCTCTCTCTTCTGGATTGTGGGTGATCATCTCCCAACAGCAAGAGGTGATGGAGAAGATACCCTCCACAGAGGAGGAGGGACAGAAAAAGGCAAGGAGTCCCTCACCTTGAGTGAGGTCAGGGAGAAGTGTAAAACGTGGGCAGCAGTGCAGGACTTTGTAGGAAAGCACCACCCAAATGAGGCTATAGCAGCGCAAGCCGTGACTGTTTAACAGCAATGCAATGTTACATTTCCACGACCTCCTCAAAAGGAGGAAAAGGAAAGGTCATCGGATAGGTCCCTCATCAAAATTGCACGGAGAGAGACTCCATTGAGCCGACAGACAGCAGTAACGGGTTAGTGACCCTGAAAGTCAGCCCACAGGACAGCCCTCCTCCCTCTTGGCTTCCTCACACCAGCCAGGAAGGTTTTCAAAGGGCACGTTAAATTGTTTTTTCTTTATATTTTGTATTTTCTTTATTATTTTGTATTATATTGCAAAATACATTGTGATCATATTTATGTGAACATTTTGAGATTGTGGAATGAATCACCTACGTTCCCATTATTTCTTACGGGGAGATTTACATTGGTCTAGAAGTGCTCTAGCGTGTTTCCAGAACAAACCATGTTCACAAACCAACGTTTTACTATACACTCACACGCACATACGATAAATTTTTTAGAAATAAGTACTTGGGGCAATATTCATTGCTTTTCTGTAATTTTGCGATTGCTTCATAATAAACAACACACAGAGTGATAGGGATCATAGCATTGTGCTTCCCACCAGCAATGCCCACAAGCACACTTTGAAAGCTGAGTCCGCCATCAGCCCTGGACATCTCCTTGTGTGGATGGCAGCAGTGGTTTCTTGCTGTAACTTTTCTTTTTGCATTTCTGTTATTATATGCAAGTTGGATAACTTTTCACGCACCTCTGTTTTCTGAGACGTAGTCTCGCTATGTGGTTCGAGCTGGTCTTGAATTCACTGTGTAGCCCAGGCTGGCCTGGAACTCTTGGCAATCCTCATGCCATAGTCTCCGGAGTGCCAGAACTACAGGTGTGTGCCACAGTTTTTCATGTTTAAGGACTATCTGTAGTTATAAACTGAGAATGATCACTTTATTATGGCTTGTGTTTAGCTGTTCCCCAAAACCCTCATAGGTGGGGCTTTTCAGAGGTGGCTGAATCCACACTCAATCCCACACACTTATCCCAGCATCACACAAACTCACCCTCCTAGCTCAGTCTCCCAAGCAGATGAGATGACAGGCATGCGCCACCGCATCCAGCTCTATGACTTCTTCATAAATTGAGAAAGTCAAGCATGGTGGTGCACACCTGTAATTCCAGGACTCGGGAGGCTGAGACAGGAAGATCACCTCAAATCCAAGGCCAGCCTGGGCTACATAGTATGTTCAAGGCCAACTTGAACTACATAGTAAGACCCTGTCTCAAAAAACAAACAGAAAATAGATTTGTGTTTATAAATCGCAGAGGCTGCCTTGACCCTTGCATCTTTTCTATTCTATACCTAGCACGGTGCTGAGAAGCTGCCTGGACCATGTTTGCCCCAGTGTCGTCCGGCTGCATGCAGGGCAACACTGAACTGGGGAGCTCAAGCAAATGAGTTTGGTGAGGACAACCCAGAAGCGGATCTGAGCTGATGTGCACCTGGTGGGTTTGCCAGGCTCCTCCAGGGGTGAGGGCGGGAGCTGCACTGCTGGACCACAGTGGGGTTAACTGGCACCAAGCGTTGGGAGCTCAGAGACTCTGCTCTGTTTTGCTGGTGCGTCCGGAGCACAGGGGCAGGCTGCTGGTGGGCTCCTCCTCTGCGGCTGGAAACACCGTAGTGGGTTAGAAGTGGCGCATTTTCACTCAGGTTCATGCAGGAGGTAACAGGGCCTCTAAATCTTAAACTGAGCTCTGTGTGACCTGGTCAAGGTCATTTTTAAAACTTAAAAATTTTTAAACT